GAAAGCTTCAACAGTCTCTCAAAACTGTGCCACCAGCTGGTAGCCAAATACTCAAAATGTATGTGTGTGTGTGTGTGTGTGTGTGTGTGTGTGTGTGTGTGTGTGTGTGCAACGGAGGGTGGTCTGTATTTCACATCAAATAATAACCACCATCAGGTTCCCTGAGCCCACCACCTGCCACTGTTAGCTTGGTTTTCAAATATTGTATCACAGCATCGATAGACATATCTTCAGCGACCCCACTTATCCTCAGGGACCGCCCTCCTTATTTTTCTTAGTAGCATCCTTCAAAGTGTGTGATGGTGATGCCAGCAACTCGGGATGCCAAAAGAAACCATAAAATACTTCCTTTGTGAAAATTTGTCACCTCATCAGGAAACATCTCGCTTGTTAATTACAGTCTGACACAGGGAGGGACACATTCACTTGGTTTCTAATATACCATGTTGCTTTGATTGACCACTTTATTAGTATGGTTAAACTTTAGCATAGGTAAATGTGTACAGGAAATACACAGTGTTAGCACAACTCAGCACCATCTGTGGCTTTAGGCATCCTTGTGGGGGGGGTGTCTCAAATTGTACCCCATGCAGATGGCTATTTGTTAATACAGTTATGCATTAATACAGCAGACCTGTCCTGGGTACTACAGCCCCAGATGCCTTGTGGGCATACAAGGTGCTGGCCTAGCCAGGTGACTTCCCAACTGTGGGATATGCCAACTCTCGACCCTGAACACTGGCCTGTTCCTTTCTTACACCCTCAATAGTCACTCCTTCTCTCAGCAAACTTTGATCTGCCCAGAGCTTGTCTGTCCCTGCTCTGCACAGTGCAGCTTCATGAGTGGAGACCTCGGGATGGGGAGGCCCGGGGAAGAAGTAGTATACCTTGTTTTTCTCTCCCCCCCCCCCCGATCCTGATGAGCAGCATCTCTTTTTAGTTCTATTCTCTCTGAATGAGTCTACCACCAGAGGAACAGAGCACAAGCATTCTCAGTAAGTACTGTATTAAATTATTAATAAACCAGCTGCCTATAACTACAATTACAGAGCTCTGGGGGTAGAGATAAGGGAAGAAATTATTTTCCTTTCTTCATGCCAAGTTGGCACTTTGGTCAAAGGCCTGAGATCCTGGCATGGGAAGTTCCATAGAAACAATTTATTTAAAGGGTAACTCATCTGGGACAGGCCACAGAGAATTCAGCTCTCACCCCACACCCACCTAATTCTCAAACCAGTAGCCCATGGGAAAGAGACCGTCTTTCTGTGCGTGAGGGGGGAAATGCACATCTTACTGACATCAGCCAAGAGGCGACAACTTACAGTTCACACCTCCAAGTAAATTAAGTCTCCCCACACTCCCAAAAAAGTTTCCTTCTCTGTCCCCTGCCCAAGGTTTCCCCTCCTTAGCCTTTTCTGCACTCTCAGCCATGGCTTTCCCTTCACTCAGCAAGACAAAATTCAGAGGTGTTCAAAGAAAACAAATACCATGCTTGCCCTGTTTAGGAGGGACAGAGAGAGAGCTTCCAGCTCTCTTGGCCTAGCCTTCTTATTCCTAAGGTGGCCTCATGTCACTCCCCACTAAAGGACACCTTACCTTATCAGCAAACACCTCTGAAGTCATAGGGGGTGGGATGGGGTAGTTCTTTAAAGGGGGCTTGGCTTCCTTGACCAAGCCTGTTTGTTCTCACCAGCCATAACACAGTTCCTGCCAGCTCCCTGGCCTCCCAGCAGCCGGTGGCTTTGACTGCAGCTGGGTGGAAGGAAGCACCTCCTGAGCAGCCTTCATTGTTCCCAGTCAGTTACCCCTGTGTGCAGCCTTCAAAGCCGTCTCTTCTTTTGCTCTCACTCTGGAGTTCTGAACGTTTTCCCACCGGTCCCTGTTATCCCGAGCGCCTTATTTTTCCTCTTGATCCAAACCAAACACCGTTTATCAGTCATAGGAAGGCCTTTGCAGCATTTCTGCCTGCAGTGAGCAGTGATACACACAGCTTCCTGTGCGAGGGTGGCCCTGCTCCAGGACAATGGAACAAGCCTTCAGGACAGATCAGAGACAAAAGCTGTGTAGTCTAAGCCAGGGCCCCAGAGACGGAGTTGGCCTTTCTCTGCCTGTGTCACTGATCCCTGGAGAGAGCTTAGATAAAAACTTCAAAGGCCAGGGTGAACCTCATGTCTGAGGGGAGCCCTTTGTTTTTATTTGTTTTGTGTTTTTCAAGTAGGGAGAACAGGGGACCAAGGGATTTCCATAGCAGCCAAAGTCTTAGAAATATTTACCACCCCATGTGTGCCCTTCACCAAAAGTGCTGGGGACCAGATGGGTTTTGGAGCCCAGAGTTTTCAAATTTTGGAATGTTTGCAACTATATAATGAGATATCTTGGGGATGGAGCTTGAGTTTTATGATAATTTACGTGTCATATAGTTTATGGGCACAGTTGAAGGTAAATGTATGTAAGTTTATGGCTTTAATGATTTAGTGTGTGATACACAATTTCAGGGTGTGGAATTTCCTATGACCTGTGACATTTTGGACTCAGGAGCATGTCAGTTTTCTGACGTTCAGGTTAAGCACACTCGGTTTTACACTTCTAAAGATAATCAGTGCACAATAAAGCTCACTGGGATGCCACACTGGGGAGGAGGCCCTTGCACTAGGAGAGACTGTGGTAGCCTCCACCCTCACTCTGGGGAGATGGCTGTGTTGACAATGGGCCTCTAGCCTGGTTCAGAGGCCTGAATTCCCATTGCTCTCTATGAAGTCACTTGGCACATGAGAATGTCAGGCTCCCTCACGTCCCAAGATCTCTTCTGTCAAGTTCTTCGATTATGTACAAGAAGAAGAAGCTGGCCTCGTGATTCCTTCAGTCATCGATCCCTGTGACTAAATACCTATTAACCATGTAAGGGGGACTTATTTTGGCTCAGAGCCTCAGGACAGTTTTCTGTTTTGTTGAATTTAGGTCTGTGACAAGTTTGAAACACCATGGTGAAAGGGCATGGAAGAAGAAAGGTCTTACCTTATGGGTAGGGGGACAGAAAACTGAAAGGGGGTGTGAGGAGAAGATATACCCTTCAAAAGTCACTTCCTCTAACCAGACCCCACCTCCTAATAGCTCAGTCTCCTGTGTTCTGTGAGGGAAGCTGCTCTCTGCCTAGGACCTCACCCATTCCTCTTCTCAGGAGGCTCTCCTGCTGTCTGAGGTTTGTTTTAAGTGCTGAGCTTATGAGTTTAAAAAGAAAATTACGGGACTAGCAAGGTATCTCAGTAGTTAGAGACTTGTTGCTATCATAGAGTACTAGGGTCTATTCTTTGTCTTCACACGGCAACTTACAAACATCTGTAGCTCCAGTTCCAGATGATGCAACACCCTCTTCTGGCCTCCACAGGCATCAGGCAAGCTTGTGGTTTATATACACACATTCAGGGAAAACACCCATACATACAAAATTAAGTAAATCTTAAAAACAAAAAATACAGTCATACAGATAAAATTTGAACAGGTAATCATATGACCCCCCACTGAGGATAAGCAAACATTAAGAATTGGTAGCTTTTGCTTTATATTCTTTCATTATAAAAGCAACAGAAAATAGGACTAAAATTTAGGGTTGAATATTTTCATTTCCCTGCATCCCTTGTTCTTTGCACGGAAGTGAGCAGCTGGGGATATGTCAGGGATCTGTGAATAGTATAGGAAGGGCAGCTGCCCCTGTCTGCCCAGAGAAAGAATTCCCACAAACCACAGCCAGCTTCTAGAAGTATCTCACTGGCTGGAAGTGCATCACATGGCTCCACAGAGACCAAAACACCGGTGAGATGTGTTTTTGTTGTTCTGAGTGCTCCCTTAGAATAAAACCCAGCTTTGTTAGGTTAAAAGTAGGGTGTATCTGGGGTAATAGCAGCTATATGTGTCAGTAAGATGCAGTCATCTCTCCGTGTCCATAGGAGATGGGTTCTAGGATCCCAAGTTCACAGATGAGCAAGTTCTTTGTATTACAAGATGTGGTAGCTTTTTGGCAGGTGCTACTTTCTTGGGGACAGATGGACAGTATATGCTTAGGCTGCAGCCATTCTCTACAAATTTGGGGCTGCTTTTCTGTTTCCTAAGAATTCATCCAGGTGAATGGTTGGAATTTGGATCATTCTGTTCTTTGTTCTTTGATCAGGTAACTTGGTGAAAGTAGACAGGTCCCTTGGGGTGGCCTCTCCTTCCTAACCCTACTCCCAGCTTTCTGCGTTTGGAGCCCAAAGTCTGGCACTAGAGGGCTATCTAGTATATACGCCCTGTGAGTTCATCTCTCTTTTCTTCTCACCTCAACCTTTTGAGACAGTTCAGACAGAGTCTTACTTTGTAGCCCAGGCTGACCTGGGCCTAATCATATAAGTCACAAACTCCTGGGCAATCTTCCTGCCTCAGCTTCCCAAGTGCTTCGATGAGAGATGAGAGCTACCACACACTGTTTCTCCACCTCTTAGTAACTGTCCTGAACTTGGGCCCTTCAGCACTTGAGAGATTTCTCCTTTAACTTCAAACATGCAGAGAGACCAAAATGGTAATTGTTTTAATTTCTCGTGTGTGTGTGTGTGTGTGTGTGTGTGTGTGTGTGTGTGTGTGTGTGTGTGTGTGCTGTATTTTCTCTCCTTCCACCATGTGTGTTCCAGAGACCATATTCAGGTCATCAGATTTGGCATCAAGCTCTTTTACCTTCTGAGCTATCGCACTGGCCTCAGAAAGGTTATTTTATTACATTTCACTAACATTCTATAATTTTGGCCCAGGCGCATGGGGATGAGGCTTTGCAATTGACTTGGGCTTGGCTGTGATCCAACGTCAAGGCTCTCCAAGAGCTCTTGGCATCTTGCATGGGCCTTCCCTTTCCCTTACACTGGTTGCAGCGAGCATCTGTAGCACGCCATCAAAGGCCTCTGACCAGAACAGACATGACGTCGTTGCGAAGATGAGATAACAGGCTAGGTGATGAGCGCCTTTATCTTTGTCAGTCCAGCAAAACTTGGAAGCTGGGGCATGATGCGAGTGATCCATATGTGAGAAAGGCGCAGCACAAAAGTCTTTGAAGAAAGAAAAAAAGGAAAAAGAAAGAAAAACCTCTTTGTGAGAAGGGGCGCAGAAGAGAACCGTGACAGAGTGACAGAGGCTTGCTGCGGAGTCACTGCAATAAGCCAGGTGAGAGACAAAGAAGCCCTGAGCCAAGGCAATGGGAATGTGTGTGTGTGTGTGTGTGTGTGTGTGTGTGTGTGTGCAGATTAAAATTGGTTTGTATCTGTATATCCAAACTAGTTAGTTTTTATTAGTGTTTTCCCATTTAATGCTTGTAGCACCCCCAAGATCTGTCTACTTATCTTTTCCATGTTGCAGATCAGAAATTAAAAGGTCAGAGAGTTCAGTAAATTGATGCAAGTCATGTGACTAGTCACTGGCTGAGTCTGATTTTGAATATATATTTCTGGCAGCAAAGTATATCCCGGAGATTCCCTCTGTCTGGGTGACCAGATGCTAGGAATCAGGGAGAAGTGGCTTATGGGAAATGAAGAGGAAAGAGCAAGGACAGGCTCTGGCACAGGCAGGCTTGGGTAGCTATGGATCGGGATGTTATGAATTGGAAGGAGGGATGGATGAAGAGGCAAAGTGTGTATGAGAAGGAGATAATGAGCCTGTCCTGTGAGGTATCTGGAGTTATGCTGGTAGAGATTTCTAGGACAGAGCATGTGGCTAAAGATAAGAATGTCTGAAGTTGTTGGCTTGCTCCTGTTTATAGAACCAAGAGGGAAGATGAGGTGTTTCTTTTTAGCAAGTCATGAAATGAGAGGCAAGTAGAGGTAAGACAACAGCATAGTACAGACATTCTGACCCCCAGGAGTTTCCATAAGACATGTCCAAGAAAGGCCAGCAGAGTACAAAGTTTGTTTTAAGTAAAGGGGGAAGTTTCAACATCAGCAAGTGCTACAGAGGTTGAGCAGGATGTACACTGAAAAGAAGACACCGAATCTGCCAGCAAAGAGGTCATCGGTGACCTCTGTTAGGACAGAGGAAAGGAATGATTAATTCTGCCTGGGGCAGGCTAAAGAAATGCTTCAAAGAAGGGCTGACATTTGAGTTGGACCATGGGCTAATGCCAGGCACAGAAGAGGGATAGAGGCATTTCAGGCAAGAAACAAAGGCCCAAGCTGGGAGATCATCTGGACGTTTCGCAGGCAGCATCAAGTTGGCAGAACATGTCTCATGTTTTGTTTTCTTCAGTTTAGAGTCTCCTAGGATTTTGCTTTCCACTGTAGACACAATAATTGTGATTGGGAAATATGACTGATGACTCTTAAGGAGACACGTGGTTCAGTCCTTCATGAAAACCAAATGCGGATAGAACAGGAGAAACAAGAAAACTACAAATGCATCTTAAAGAATACATCATGATTTGGACGGATAATAAATACTATTGTAACAACCCATATGTTGCAGAGGCTCCACAGCAGTGTGGTCCTCACTCATACAGTCTGATGGGATCCAGCAGCTCTACCAGGCAGCTGTCATCCATATAGTGACTCGGAGATCTATGTTCATTCTGTGGTCTCTGAAATATTGGATCATTTTGTTCCTAACTATACAGCCCAATACCATGGGGGAGTCACACTTCACACAGTTATTCATATACTGTAGGCTGTGTTTAGTCAAATGGCCACACAAAGTGCAATGGAGACCGGGAGATGTGTATGAACATATAAGGGCTAGTAAGTGCTAGCCATATGCGCTTGAGGCCATATCCCCATTAAAGTATCGATTATTCAAGTAGTCTTTGTTCTCCATAGAAAACACGAATGCCCTTAGAGACTTCCATTTATATAGCTTTGGCACACTTGAACCTTGAATTCAGTGCCTTATCTCAGTCTGCTTTTTAAAATAGATTTCATGGCGGGCAGTGGGGGCACTCATCTTTAATCCCAGCACTCAGAAGGCAAAGACAGCCAAATTTCTGTGAGTTCAAGGCCAGCCTAGTCTACAGAGTTAGTACCATGACAGTCAGGGTTACAAAAACTGTCTCCAAGGAAAAAAGTGGATTTTTATGTAATAAGCATTCTTTCCTATTTATTAACAAACAAAATCTGTGCACAACAAAAAGGGGAACCTGATCAAATTCACAAGCCACTGCTACCGGCTAATTGATTCGAAAGGGCCGGCACTCCTCCGCTCCACCTTTCTCCTTCTCTCCCTTCCCTAATAAAAACCCCACCTCTTGGACTAAAATGCTCATCTCAATTGGCTAGCAGACCAGTGGCAGAAGTCCTGTAACAATTCTGCCCTTAGACTGTAGGCAACTGAAGGCAAGGTTAATTTGTTACTTATACGTCTATAACTTTGAAGAGTAGTCGAAAAAGAAAAACACACTTGAAGGACTTAATTTTTATTTTGGCCCATGGTTCCCGAAGTTTCAGCCTATGGTTTTATGGCCCAGTTTCTTTGGTCCTGAGGTAGGCAAAACATCACGACAAAGACTGTTTGGCATTGCAAAGATGTTCATCAAGGAAGCTGAGAGAGATGATGATAAAGCCTGGGACAAAATCTAACTCCCCCAAACCTCCTCCCCAAGGAGTTGCTTTTCTATCTCAGGAAATTTCTACCACTTCCTAAGGGCAGCAAATTACAAAGGCATCAATGGATTCATCCACCAATGAGAGGTGAGCTCTCATGTCAGATCACTTAACAAGACCTTCATCTCTGAAGATGGGACCACTTCTTCAACATATGAGCCTTTGGGAGTTCACTTTATACCCAAACTGTTAACAGTGAAGGGACATAGAATTATGTTTCTAGCAGTTGGTCACAGTTAACTGAATTCTGACTGCAAATTCAATTCAAGGAACTCAAGGGCAGTTGATGCTGTGCTTGATAGTATATTGGAGTGAAGAAAACCTGTGCTCCATGGGTTTCATGTTACAGTGATGTCAAGAACTTTTTTCTACATATTCATCTGTGGGCATTTTGGTTTTCTTCTTGTGGATAACACCAACGGCAATTTTAAGAAAGAAAAGTGATGCATCCTTGTTCTCAGCATTTCCCTTTGTTTCTTTCTAGTTTGGCTTAACATGCCTGTGAAATTTTCATGTAGTGGAGAGCATGGCTGTCTCCATTGTTCTAGAGTCACATCACATCACCTCTCTTCAGCCTGTGACGTTGGCCACTCTACCTTGGATACACTGACCTACCCAGTTCTTGCCTTCTGAGACTTGTACCCTCCTCTAGATGCTCGCCACTGATACTCTTTAGGATAGCCTTTGTTCTTTGTGTGATGTGTTCATCCTCATTTTCAAGTGTCCTCCTTACAGAAGAGTTTCTCAAGCCTGATCAGAAAAACACCCCTCCCCTCGCTCGTCACACCACATTAGCATACCTATCTGAATTATAGCAGTCTTCATGATGCGTACACCTCCTTCATCATTTATCCCATTGGAACATAAGCTTCTGCAATGAATGCTGCAATGCATATGGCCAATCTCCTATTTGGGGTTTTTCTTGTGTTTTTTTTCCCTGAGCAAATTCTCAAGAGCAAGATCCTTGGGTCTACATCCTAAATATTATTGAAATATGGTTGGCATGTTGCCCTCCAAGCATTGTGCTGACCTACACTACTGCCACTAAAAATTTTTGCACCCATTTTATTATTATTCATCATTATTAATACTGAGTTTTATTAATACACATATGGGGGAATTTGGCAAACCATGTATATTCAAAATTAATTTATGAATTATTAAACATTAATACGTAATATAGCATGAGATAAAATCCTGTATCTTTGAACTTTTAAGCCTAAGTTTTTCTATCATCAATGATGTGAGAAAGCCCAAACATGTCCTAAGGACCATGGCTTTCACAGGCCGGGCACTTGCCCTTGACCCCTGTCCTCCAGAGCACTAATCTGTAGTTTAAAGGCTGCAAAAGGCCTGTGGGTGCTCAGAATATATGGTCAAGGGGTGGTCTGGTTTACTAGACTTGGGTGCTATCAAAGAAGACAGATAAGACTCCTGGAGGTTCTATGTAGAGTACAACCCCTACAGTCTGCATAGCAACGAGAGACGAGCACCTTACAGCTATCACAAAGGGAAGACTGGACAAGTTCCAGTTCCCCAGGGTCAAGAGCACATGGGTAAAGAAACAGAGGTTAGCACAATCAGAGCCTCTCACAGAGATCTCAGTGATAGGGTTCCAACACCCAGAGGAGCGTATTTAACACATCTGAGCACCTGCTGTCCACTGCAAGAGCAAATTAAAGGCGGACTTAAAAATGGACAAACTTCAAGGTGAAGCCCAACCCTAACAAGTATTATTCTTCACAGACAGTGTGTAGGGAGATTAGACATATAAAGAGGCATCAATCAGCTTTAAGATGTCTCTTGACTTCCCTGGTTTACCCACATATCCAAACTCAGGGTTGGACATGGCTTGGCTTCCAGGTCCCTAGAGCTGAGATAAACAGATTTTGTGTAATTTTTTTATCAAAACACCAGGGTAGTCTGTAGCTTGAAGAAGACTGGGTGGGCAGAGGGACGGCTTGGAGATTAACCTTCTCCCTCCTTCATACTCTGTCCTAACTTACCTGTGACCATGAAATCCCACCCAGCCCCTCTAGAGTTCCAAAGGGGTTACCTTTGATAAAAGCTAATACTTTCTAACACTGACGGTATCAAAGGCGGCGTGAAATCTTTCACACTGAAGGTGTCAGTGGTGGTGTGAAATCTTTCACTCAGTGGTACTTTCTGGCATCTTTTACCCAGAAACAGTGTTCTTCCTCATTAACAAGTTGTAAGACTGAGACTTTCTAGAATTTAAATTAAGTTTGGTAACTTCTATAGCATTTACTCTTCCTATATAACCTCATTTGGAAAAGTTTTTTTTCTTGTTGTTTTAGTAATAGTATTATTAGTAACCAGAAGGTGGTACACCTTCTCTGGGTCACTTCTAGTCATTTTCCAAGTAGCATTTTAGAATATTAGAAACCTTCCTGCACCATGAGGCCTACAGTGGCAGATCTGTGCAAGCAGAAGCCCAATGGGCTCAGAAAACCAGGCCTCGCCCCTCTTCCCTTCTATCAAGGTTCTCCTGTGTCTGAGACTAAGCCTGCGTGGAGGCTGGAGGCAGAGAACCTTCTTGCAGCAGCCAGAAGACTCTTGAGCAGAGCCATGAAACTCATCAGGAAGAGAGACTCCCTGTCCTATCTGCTATCATGCCAATCGGGCTCCTGACAATAGTGTCTAAACAAGTTATACAGTGATTTCAAAGACTGTTTCCCAGACTGTCTGGCAGTGGGATTGTAAACTGGCACTCCCCTGATTCATGTCTAAAATCCATATATGAGTGAGTACACACCATGTTTCTCTTTTTGTGATTGGGTTACCTCTTTCAGGATGGTTTCTTCTAGTGCCTTCCATTTGCCGGCAAATTTCAAGATTCCATTGTTTTTTTCCACCGAATAGTACTCCATTGTATAAATATACCACATTTTCTCTATCTACTCTTTATTTGAGGGACATCTAGATGGCTTCCAGGCTCTGGCTATTACAAATAATGCTGCTATGAACATAGTAGAACAGACGCCCTTGTTGTATGAATGGGCATCTTTTGGGTATATGCCTAAGAGTGGAATTGCTGGGTCTTGTGGTAGACCTGGTGCATAAAACACCTGGGGTAAAGCACAGAATGCCACATGTCACAGCTGCTCTGATTTCCCATTTTCTTTCAGGGAAGATTTGCCTGATAGGCTTTGCTATTCAGTAGGAACTTTAGAGTCCTAAGTGACCAGGAATAAGGATACTTGGATATTTTTTCTTACCTCAAAAAAACCCACTTAAGGCTGAAGCTGTATATGTTTCTAGCCAGATGAAAATAATCTGGAATTTCTAGATGCCTGGGAGCCTCAGGGGAACCCTCCAGAAGCTCCCTCTTGGGTCTTTTAGCTTGCCTAGAAACCACCAACAGCATTGTTCCTTCTTCATGGCAATATAAAAAGGTATCTGATCATCAGAAGATGTAATTCCCTATCCATGTTCCAAGTACAGTAAACAGAATTTCCCCAGCAGAGATCTTGCTTTATCAGCAGCTGGCACCACAAAATGCTCTTGATTTTCTAAAGATCAAGTCTTATACCAGATGAGAGTCTGTTCACATTCCCCAGATCTTACCGCTGAAACTCCATATAGTCGAGCATTATTGAATCACAGGAATGTTGCTGAAATAAAAGGGTTGCCCCCTCCTTGAGGGTAACACCCGAAGCCAGTCAAATGTAAATTTGTTGATATGGGAATTAAATTTTTTCCACACTTTTATTCTTTCTGCTTCTGGAAATGGATAGCTTATCCCCAGTGAAACAGCTAGAATGACATTTTACTTCTATGAGAAGCCCATTTCTTTGTTTTCTTACAGGATTCTTTGTGATTACTGAAGTCTTGGCAATTTCAAGGTCTACTTTCTGACACTCATGGATTGAGTTTTGCAGCCGTTAAAGTCTATGCTTCATCAAGTGGTAGAGGGCACATGGCTGTCTGGGTAAATTTCCAGCTCCTTGAGAGGGATGAACAAGCAAGAGTTTTGCTCCCACATTCTTTCTGAGGGGCAGAGCAACCGGACAACGTCAGGTGAGGAGTCTGTCAGACAAGGGCCCATCAACGCCTTGTTCAACCCATATGGCAAAGCTAGAATGCAGTCGTTATTGTCTCCACCGTAGACATCTGAGACATGAGATTCATAGGCGATAAAGGACCTCCCTTACAGCCCACTGTTACCCAGTGGGTCACAAACCTAACTGAATGTGGAGATCATGGAAAATGTGGTAACACTGAAAATTTTCTGACTATAAAATGACTGACAATTCATTCAAGACCAAGTGAGCATTGAGTTGGGAGAGTTGCTGGCAGCGCTTGTCAGGGTGACATCATGCCACTCCACTGATGCTGGGTCTGGACACACAAGGACAAATGCTGTCATGCCACCCAGCATCAAGAAGACTGCCTGAAATGCACTGGCTCAGATTCAAGACTATTGTATGATCTGAATTAAAGTGCATTTACTGTACATACACAGTGCTCTGTTCTTATGGGAACATGATGGTTTAATTATGGAAAACAAAGACTTCTAATATTTTCCCACCATCATTACTCTGCATATAAGTATCAAATTAGTATATTTTTAGGCTGGATTGTATTCTAATGTTTGATTTTAAAAATTGCTGCTTGAGTTGCTGACTTGAGTTTCATTGAAAATCATTAAATGAATCTTGACTTGGGATTAGGACAGTATTTCCAACAATTTCTAAAATATCACTAAACATACTTTAGCCATTTTATATGGTGCATTTATTTTAATGCATCAAAATTCATGACTATACAATTTAATATTGGTCAATGCTGAACAACACTGAAGATTTTTCCTGTCATGGTAGTATCAAATATTTAGCCAAGGTTTAATTTTTTGTGTAAGAACACATACACATAAGTAGTCATGATCATAGTGGCTGGCCTCTTGGACCCTGAGTCCTTAGCAGCCATGCTTGGGGTGGGATCTGAGGTTTTGGTACATTCCTCTGCTTTTCAACTAAGCTGACTGGACTCTATATCCTCAAGTTTGATTAGACATCATCTTGTTTTATGAAGTCAACAATACAGCTTTTATTTTTCTGAGTGCACACCTGTAGAGACCATAATTGAAGATGTTGCTTCTTTTCATCTTTCTCTGTGCAGGGTCTTGTGCATAGTAGGCAAAATGTTATCACCTGCAAAGTAGCAGTACTTGTTTTATGACATTATATTCGTCTTCTGTTTCCAGTCAAAGACTTTTAGAAATTGTTAATGTTTTGAGATACAGGATATTTATGGGTCCATGGAATTCAACGGCAGTTCAAGCAAGCCAAGGTGCAGCCAAGCTAACTCAAAGGTGGCTGCGATGGCTTTGCACCTCACCTCTTCTTGGTGATACTGTTGGGTTGTATGACACACAGGTAGGTGGTCAGTTTGCCCATCTTTGTGATGTTGCACTCAGAAACCACATATTGCAAATTTCTAGGTCTAAATTTGGTAACTATTATTCTTTATTTCTGCTTTGGGTGGTGATGATCTTTTTTAATTTTTTTAGTATTAGGGGGTGAAATCCAGGACATATATGTACTAGGCAGTTATGCCAGGGGACTACATTCCCAGGACATCAATTGAGATTTTTCTTTAAAAGAAATAATTCAAACAGATTAGAAATTCTTGCTGGCACTGGTGGCACACACCTTTAAACCCAGCACTTAGGAGGCAGAGGCAGGCAGATCTCTGTGAGGTGCAGGCCAGTCTACAGAGTGAGTTCAGGATAGGCTCCAAAGCAATACAGAGAAACCCTGTCTTAAAAAAAACAACAACAACAACAAAAAAAAGAAATTCTTCTATATACACAGTGACCTTACCAGGAAGGCAGAAAAATGGAAAAATGTATCAAAAAAGTAACTTCTTGTAACTCATGAAAAATTATAACTTATACCCACTCAGCACTTGACCCTAGTCTCTGATCTGTTGTGAATCAGGTCATTTCTGTACTGTTAATGAATTTACATGCCATAGCCAGGACAGAAAGTTGAACCTGCCCACCCTCCTTCAAGTGTGAAGCAGATACTGCTGACAGAGCTGGCAGCAGGGGACCCTGGAACTTGAGCCTCCCAGAGACTTGAAAGGGAAGCTGGGTTTCCCCTTCGCCTTCATGTTTTATGAGTGTTGGGAAAATGCTGGCTGTTTACTAATTATCAAAGCTGCTTTTATGACTTCCCCTAAGACAAACACAAAAGGAAAGGGTCCAAGTGTATTCCTTTAGGGCATGGATAAAAGGGTGACCTTTCATGCTCTTGGGGGACAGCATGGCCGGCATCCCTGGAAAATACGATGAGGAAGCATGTTCAGGAAGACAAAAAGCTTTGAAGTGGGAAGCCAGATGGGGACTGCTGTCACCGACTGTGAGGTGCCTGTTTGGCCTGATGTGACAGACCTGTTCGCTGTCCCTGAGCTGAGTAGACAGCAAGGGAGAATGCTAAGGACACTTCCTTCCCACAGAGCTTTTTACTGATGTCACTCCTGATTCACAAAGAACCCAGAAAGGACCCCTGGGCATCTTAGTATGTGCCCATAGGAAGCATCTCAGCCGTGTCCTTCCCTAGCACATCCTGTTTCATGGAACCCCAAACAGAGGAAAACAGAAGCAAAGAACATGCTGTTACTACCAAAAATTTAATTACAATGATTTAAGACTATCAGTTAAGTTTGACTGGAACAAAAACACATCTGCCTTTTAAAGTTCCTGAGACCCTGGAACTGGCACCCAGCACAAAAAAATTTTCTTCATGGAAATTTTTATTTTTCCTTAAGATCTACATTTTGGGTAAAAACAAAATGCCATCGACTGACATCAAGAATTAGCATAAAGCATTCCTTTCCCCAGAGAGGATGTGAAAGGCTCTGAGATCTCCTGTTGCCATAGCCAGTGGTTCCAGTATTTACTTGCGTTCTTACTTTGGTCTCTTTTGAATGGACAGGCCTTTACAGCTAGCTCCCTTCCTGTTTCTATCGGCGGAAACTGAACAGTAAAAAGCAGTAAATAACTTAGCGCTGTCAGTTCCCAAGGTTTAGATTCTTTCTTTTATATATTCTCTTAAAAGTGAGTTCAGCTATGGCACTTTCTAAAAATACAACCCAGGGTTGGGTTTATTGTTTCCCTAGCTTTGTGCTAACCTGTTTGAAGAACTTATGACAATGTGCAGTTTCCAGCGAGCTGCTGGCTCAGTGCTCTCAAATTCCTCTGAGTTTGACTTCATCTTACAGACAGGGTCAGATCTGGAACTTACAGTTGAGGATACCTGCCCTCCAAAGGTAAATCTCCCAACAAGCCCCTTCCAAATGGAAATTTTGCATGGTATTGTTTTCTTGTTGTTGTTGTTTTGGTGTTTTGAGATAGAGTTTCTCTGTATAATAGCCCTGACTGTTCTAGAACCCCCATTGTAGACCAGGCTGGCTTCAAACTCGTAGAGATCTGCCTGCCTTCTGAGTGCTAGTTTTTTGTTTTTTTGTTTCTTTTGTTTTGTAGTTTTTTGAGACAGGATTTCTCTGTGACTTTGGAGGCTGTCCTGGAACTAGCTCTTATAGACCTGGCTGGTCTTGAACTCACAGAGATCTGCCTGCCTCTGCTTCCCGAATGCTTGGATTAAAGGCAAGCACCACCAATACCTGGCTCCTGGGTGCTAGTTTTAAAGTCATGAACCACCACGTCCGACTGCACAGGACTGTTTTAACACAAGCTGACAGCCATGTTTTTCTCACCAATTCTGTGGAGTACAAGACTGTGGTCTTTACCCAGGAACTAGCAGCTACAGCTGTGAAAACATGAATTCAATGACCAGCACAACAGAAACAAGTTGGGCAGCTGAACTCCGCTAGGAGCGGGTTCCCTGTTTGAATGTCAAGATGGGATCAGCCTGCTTCAACAGAGATGGCAGGCTGGGCAGGAAGCCTCCTGAGTCATTTTTCTATTGCTGCGACTGACCATCACAGGATAGAAAGCTTATGAAGACTAAGGCTTTCTTGATTGGGAAGGTCAAGATCCCGCAGCTGCATCTGGTGAAGTCTCTCTCACTGGTGGGAATTTGGTAGTGCAGGTTGTCATGTGGTAAGCCTGAGTGGCTTGGCTCAGTCTCTCCCCCTCTACATATAAAGCCAAAGTCCTATTGGATCAGTGCCCCAATGCCCCAGCTCCAAACAGCACAATTGGATTTGGCTTGGGCACCAAGTAACTTACAGTGGTACAAGAGGTTTTCTCAGGGGTGAACAAGGCACCAGTATAGGTGTGGAGAGAAGTCTGGTACTGGGAAAATGTTTGGGAATTTGCAGTGATGACCCCTACTAAGAATCAAGGCAGTGAAAGAGAGTCTACCTTTGATGTCCCTCCCCTATAATGAGATTGATGACCATCTTGGTTACCATTCCTAGAACCTTCATCCAGTAGCTGATCAAAGCAGAAGCAGGCACCCACAGCTAAACATTGAGCCATACTCCTGGAATCCAGTTGCAGAGAGGGAGGAGGGATGAGCAAAGGAGCCAAGACCATGCTGGAGAAACCAGCAGAAACAGTTGACCTGACCTAGTGAGAGCACGGAGACCCTAGTCATAAAGCTGGGGAACCAGCATTGGACCGAACCAAGCCCTCTGAATGTGGGTACCAGCTAGGAGGCCTGGGCAGTCTACGGGACCTCTAAGTGGAGCCAGTGTTAATCCCTAGTGCACAAATGGACTTTGGGAGCCCATGGGGGGATACTGTTGCAGTCCAGATATAGGAAGGAGCGCCTGGGCCCTCCCCCAAATGATGTGAAGGACTTTGATTGTCCCCTGAGGGAGGACCTCACTATCATTGGGGAGGGGCTGGGGGTGGACTGGGGGTCTGTGGAGGGCATGGGAGGATGGGAGGGCAAGGGAATGGGGGATTGACATGTAAAATAAGAGTGCTTCTAAAGTAAATTTTAAAAAAGGATAAAAAAGTCAAGGTGTAGGGCATAAACCAAAGAACTCTGAGATGAGTTCACTGAGTCATTGGAGCCCTGAAGCCCTAATGACACACCCATCTGCCTCTGCCTTGACTTTACTTGTGCTACTGAGGAGACCCAGCCACAAATGGTGCTAGGAGGAGGAGGAGGAGGAGAAGAAGAAGAAGAAGAAGAAGAAGAAGAAGAAGAAGAAGAAGAAGAAGAAGAAGAAGAAGAAGAAGAAGAAGAAGAAGAAGAAGAAGAAGAAGAAGAAGAAGAGGAGGAGGAGGAAGAGGAGGAGGAGGAGGAGGAAGAGGAGGAGGAAGAGGAGGAGGAAGAGGATGAGGAGATGAAGAGGATGAGGAGATGAAGAGGATGAGGAGATGAAGAGGATGAGGAGATGAAGAAGAAGATGAAGAAGATGAAGAAGAAGAGGAGGAAGAGGAGGAAGAGGAAGAGGAAGAGGAGAGGAAGAGGATGAGAAGATGAAGAAGAAGATGAAGAAGATGATGAAGAAGAAGAAGAAGAAGAAGAAGAA